TACCATGGACACTTTTAATGCTAGAGGGCTCGCAAGTGCGTGGCCGGCCTTTTATGAATCGGAACGCTCTTTTCTTGAAGGACTCTAAGTCGAATTGGTTTCGAAATACTTCAGTGGACTGGTTCCACATAGCGATGATGCGTGGCAAAATCTGCCTTAAAAAAACGATATGGGTGGAATTTCGTATCTGCCTCGACGTTCGATGACGAAACTCAGCTGCAGCTACTAATCCGAATAACTCCTCAAAACACTTTCCATGATAAATGCGGTAGAAGATGCATAGTGACTCACTCTACGCAACGCCAAAGGATCAAGCCGCTCGGAGAGAGATTGGTCGTTGACGATTCGAACTGCTTTTCTTTGAATACGGTCATACGGAAAGAGCCGGTACTCGGGAGCCAGAGGTGAGAAAAGTACTCCATGTGGGTACAAGTTAGGGCTTTATACAGTTGCAAGCAAAGGCCCGGAGTGAAGTACCGTTCTGCCTTTAATATGATTAATTGAGCCCTACAAAGTTAAGTGGGTACATATAATATATACCTATAGTCTATAATAAATAATATTAATAAATCGAAATGTTTGCTATTTCTATATACACTTTTGTGATGATGATTCTGCCTACATTTATTGAAATATGTATTAATAAAGTTGGCAACCCTAGCTGGAATGGACCGTGCTTATTATGGTTGGACAGCTTTTATTTTCTCAAACTTTACGAGCGGCTTTGTACTGGCCGGCTTGCTCTCGATATTTATCTCTCATGTAATTGTTTTTGGAATTCTTCTCAGACTATACAATGATATTTAGAATATAGACATACAGTTATTATTAGGGTACGTGCAAGGAAATATTTCAAACACTCTTTCACAAAGATTAAAAAAACCTTTTAAGATAGTGTAAGGCACCGGTTAACAGAGTGTTTCGTCTTTATAAAGTATTGTGTTGTTTTAGTAAATTAGTGTAGACATTAATCACTTATTAGTCTAAAATATCTTATCTTTAATTATAATAATTGGACTAAGAGCAGTTATGGCCTAGTGGCTTCAGCATGTGACTTTCATCCCTCAGGTTGTAGGTCCATTGGTGGATGAAAGTCACATGCACCAATTTAGTTTCTGTGCATGTGTGTATATGCGCATTTAACATTCGTTCGAACGGTGCCTAGATCAAAAATTAGTGACTTATTCAAGTAGTTAAACTCTTCGTTTGAGGTGAACTCTTCTTCAATTGATGGCCTTTTTGCTTACCAACCATTTTATATAGTAAATGTCAAATATATAGTTTTGGAATAAGTAAATAAGTACCTAGTGATTTAAAATCTCGTACATTTATACATATTTTTATTTTCCATGACTGGCATGCAAGACTACGTATGTTTTGAACAGTGCTCACGTATTTTCTTAAAAATTGAGTTCAAAGAGTCCTATCATTTTAATACATGTAATTTAGATTTACATCTTATTATGTATTTTGTGTAAATAATGAAGAAATTACTTGAAATTGGTAGCCCAGCCTCAAACATTAACTATTATAATTAATAAGTAAATTACTCTGAAATTTAACGTCTTCCATTTAAACGGTGTGCCGCGCACGAGACCTTTCTAGCGTATACGTTACGAAACATTTAATAATCATTATTGTGGCGCTACAAACATGGTATTCATTTAGATTTAATCAGTTTTTTTCCTCATACTAAGTAGAACGGATTTCGGTGCCTGATACACAAGGTAAACCTTAGACCTTTATACGAGCAAGCATTAAAAGAAACGATTGGATAATAGGACGACATTATCCCGACGTTTTTGTATGCAAGTTTGGTAGTTTTTCCCCAGTACCAGCTCCTTGCTGACCGTACCAACGAAGAGCGATTCGATTCGTCAACGACCAGCAGAGTCACCGTGCTTCGTGATCCCTTGACGTTGCGTAGAATTGTGTGGTCTCTCTGCATCTTCTACCGAATTTACCATGGAGAGTGTTCAGAGGAGCTGTTCGGACTAATACCTGCAGCTGAGTTTCATCATTGGACGTCGAGGCAGAATACGAAATTCTAACCGTATCACCTCGACGTCCGTCATTCCATAACTGAGGGATTGTTAAGGCAGTTTTTACCGCGAACCACCACTATGTGGAGTCAGCTCCCCACTGAAGTATTTCCGAGCCAATTCGACTAAGGGTCCTTCAAGGGCATACCAATTCTAAAAAAAACGGCAACGCACTTGCGAGCCATCTCGCAATCTGAGTGTCCATGGGCGGCGGTATCATTTAACATCAGATGAACCTCCTACCCGTTTGCCTCCTATTACACAAAAAGAACTAGTTTTCTCAATATAATACAAAAATTCATTATTAAGATCAGTATAGCTGTCGGTATCGCTAGTGGAAGTGTAAAAGTAAGGGTTTTGACTAAGTTACACGGTTTGAAAGTGTTCCTGAAAGTGTTTTTGGATAACCTTTTTTTTTTTTTTTTGATTATGTGGCATTAAAAAATACATGCAACCCTTAATTTCCCCCTCCCCCCTAGGGGTAAGCCCCCTACGATTACCCCTTTTTTTATTAATAAGTCTTCTCTTTCTTGTCTGCTGTTATACTTTTATACTATTGTAATATAAAATTAATTAATACGCGTAATGTATTTTTGTATTAGTTTATTTTCTCATGTGATTGTAATGTTCTTAATGAAAAATAAATACCGTAAACTTTTATTTGTACATCGTTTTACATTTATGAACGAACAATTTCGAAAATATCTAATACGTAGGCCTGTAAACACAACTATTATTTACTCTTAAAGACTTCATACGTTTTTATATACCACAAATTAATTATTAATTACAGGTCAATCACTCAGGCTACATGCTATATGTTTTGACTGCTCGACACAGCAATCTGGTAATGTAAAAATGAGATTTCAAATATAAAACAAATAGTCTAAAAACAGTTAAACTGACGCTGGACATATTGTTAAAGATTACTGAACGGTATAATTGTAAAGACCGGACCACAATCAGTTTGTGTATCAAAATAATATGGCGTTAAGAGAAGGCTTAATAGTTTGCTAAGCTTATAATGTTAATATAATGAGAGAATTGCCGGTAATAACAATAACAATGAAAATTAATAACCACCTCGTGCCTGATAAGGGTCTCGGCGGCCGAGAATTTCTTAAAACTTTTCCCGTATCAGTAATTTTCAATAATAAAACAAGCGGTAATGCTATAAGGATCGCTTAGTTTCACACTTGGTGAAATTTGGCTGTTTATATGCCTACCGTGATTCATTATCATCGCTTTAATCTAACTATATACGTAAAAATTAATGGCTGTTCGACTCGCTAAAACTTACAAATGGCGGGATCTAATTGACTAATTATGATCTTGAAATATTTGTGGAAGGAAACATAAATAATAATTAAAGAAAAATACTAAAAACGACAATTGAATTTTCCAATAAAAGCTGTTCCTTGCTGGGAAGTATTTGATGTCTTTTGTCTTTTTAGAAATAGAAAGCTGTCATTTGGTTGTCATAATATATTTATAACTTTCAGAAATTTGTATTTCTTACCTGTAGTATGGGAGCCGATCTCATTGGTCTGTTTTAAAAATTAGGTGTTGACACAGATATGGTCATTTAAAATAAATAATACAAAACAGTATACTATAAAATAAATAATATCGCGATTTAAAGTTTGTAGAACATTATAAAGAGAATACGATTGCACTATTATTTATTTATCGAACAGAGGGCAAACGTGCAGGAGCCTCTCCTGAAGTAAAGTAATCTCGCATGGACACTTTCAATACCAGAGGACTCTTTAAGAAATTCACTAAGTGACATTCACCTGTATTTTGATTTTTAATTAAGGCTAATGATCAAAGTAATACCTAAAGCTGATTAGATTCCTAAGGCGTTATTAGATTTGTATTGGTGACGAAAAAATTTACGATTTAAGATAAATGAATAATAATTAAACACAAAACATGAGTCCTACATTACTAAAATACAGATATTAATGTCGGGGCGTTACCGCGTGCGAGCGATCTGCACGATACGGTCTAAAGGACCGACGCGAGCGCAACACTGTTAAATATGAACTTTTGCTAATTTAGATCTTTATTTTCGTAAATGTTTGTACGGTTAAGCGGTTATTTCTGTTTTGGTTGAGGATTGTGTTAAGCTAGACTTGGGAATTCAAAAATGTATATTGTATTACGAAAAATATGAAGTTTCTTGCTTAAGTAAACAAAGTTTTTGATAAATATTGACCTTCATTTAATAGGTGTATCTGTTAATTTTCTACAGTAGTATTAGCCTTGGTAGCGAGAAGGCTGTGCCCATTATTTATATATGTATATAAAAATGAACTGCGGTTCGTTTGTCTCGCTAAAACTCGAGAATGGCTGGACCGATTCGGCTTATTTTGATCTTGAAATATTTGTGGATGTTCAGGGAGATCTTGAACGGAAACATATACATGTTTAAATAATAGTTAAATATAGTAAAATCAAAAACACAACATAATACAATTCATGTGTCTTCTGATTTAAAAAAAAGATGTCACTTGTCATTTGTCAAGCGTTTAAAAGCGTTGATAAAAATATTACACTAAGGTTTGACGTTTTACAGAAATATATGTAGGTGAATAGGATGTTCACTGGGCCAACTACATAGTACTATATAGTTGTTATATGCTAAAAATCTACAGCCTATAGTCTTAGGCTTAGATTTCTATGCCAGTTTCTTTATAATTTTTCTCAATCAATCTTCTATGCCTGCTCACATTCGGTCCATTTTTGGGTCTAAGTCATGCGGGTTTCCTCACGATGTTTTCCTTCACGTACGAGCGTATCGAAAGCTCACAAGCGCACGGTGAAGCCGTAATTCGAACAACCACAGCTACTATCACTCACTCACTCCGCCAGCTCTGCGACCCAAAACGTGTTTTGGCCTCCAAAATGAGAAACATCCAGCGCTGATGTGCTGTCCTGTCCTGCTGCCAATTGCTAGCTTCTATAACAGGTCCTCATCCACTTAGTCGATCCTGCTGTATCTAGGCCGACCTGGTCTCCAACCACTAGGTAGGCTTCCTTCACAGCCCGTTCTTGGCCCACGCCTTGTCCTATAATGTTAGGCTGGGCTTCCAATTCTTTTATTTCGTCATTTTTACAGCCTATCCATGACACGTCCTCCCTCCTTGACTGCCCCAGAATTTTACGCAGTATTTTGAGTTTCGTCACCAGCAACTTCTGCTCCTCTTTCACGGTTAGCGTCCAAGCCTCACAGCCTTACATTAATAATAGAGCCATCTGCTTTGGCTGTAAAGAACAAAGCGTATACCAGTAAAACAGTCGTATAAAACAATTTGCATCACTGGTATTAAATCCGAATACTGAGCGAGAATTCCCTTTATTGAATCCGCTTATACTTAAAGATGATTAATGTTTTCGAATCGATATTAATTCGAGGGTTTCTGCACGACTGCGGGGTATAGGTGTTGCGCAATTTATAAAGAGCAATAACAATGTGTGCTACATCTGACGGATAATTTCTCAAATAAACACCTCGCCCGTAGCGTTGGATATCGCAGGAATTAAATACCTGGAGAGCTGTGTTTCTCAAACTTTTATAAGAATGTGTTAATTCGTCAATAATTCCGTTTAAAGAGAACTAATAATTCAAGTTTAGTTATTTTTACAATTTAACTTTCATCTTTTATATAATGTTGTTTGTCGAGCTGCATTTAGTACGTGAGTACATATACAACGTAGTAATAGTTTGTTAAATATGTTAGTCTTTACGTAACATGGGGCAAACGTTCAGGAGGCTCATCTGATGTTAAGTGATACCCATAGACGCTCAGTAGGCTCGCAAGTGCTGGCCATTTAAGCATTAGTACGCTCTTTTCTTGAAGGGAAGTCTAATTGTCTAAGTCGAATTGGATTGGAAATACTTTAAATGGCATCTGGTTCTATATAGTGGTGGTGCGCGGCAAAACTCTTCCTTAATGAACGCTCAGTTGTGGAACGACGGACGTCGAGGTGATACGGATGGTATTTTTTATGCTGTCCATGCCCCACTATAGGAGTTTAATTTGTTTACTAACATAGCTATTAAGACCGAATTGTTACTAACTCTAACTAAAACTAGATATGTATATAATCTAAACTAAATAATTTTTATTTAACTTGACGTTTCAAATGCTTTAGGTAGCAAATAACTACTTTACTATTAAACTCAAACTCAAACTCAAAATATCTTTATTCAAGTGGGTAACCAAGTACACTTTTGAATCGTCAAGTTAAATTAATCGTAAATTTACATTTACTACCAGTTCGCAAGTCAAGTCGCGGGTAAGAAGAACTGGCAAGAAACTTTCCGCCACTCTTTTTAATCGCCAAGTATTGTCATACAAATTGTTTGAACTGGAGCAATTCAATCCCAAGGATTAGGATCATTTAAGTAGTCCTCAAATTTATAAAAAGCTTTGTTGATTAATTTTCGTTTAACGAGGGCTTTGAATTTATTTAGTGATAATACTCTAATTTCGCTTGGGAGTTTGTTGTAAAAACGAATACAATTTCCATATAAGGAGTGGTTTATCTTTTGGAGCCTGGTTGGTCTTACACTCAAATTAGTTCTATTTCGCGAATTATACTGGTGAAAGTCACCATTTGTTTTAAAATCGTTTATATTTTTTTGGACATACAACAAGGCTTCAAGAATATATTGACCAGATAGTGTCATAATATTTAATTCCTTAAACTTATTCCGTACCGACTCCCTCGGAGAAACACAACAAATACCCCGAACAGCCCGCTTCTGCAGCACAAATATGGATTGAACCTCTGCAGCAGCACCCCACAGTAGAATACCGTACGACATAACACTGTGAAAGTAGCTATGATAAACAATTTTTGCCGTGTCCTTATCAGTAAACTGTCGGATTTTCTTTACTGCATATGCTGCAGAGCTCAGCCTATTCGAAAGAGTATCTATGTGTGGGCCCCATTGGAGTTTACTATCTATTGTTATGCCTAGAAAAACAGTTTTGTCAACAAAGTTTAGTTCACTGTCCTTTATTTTCAGGTTACCAATATCTCGCTTTACGCTAGTAGTTGTAAATCGAATACATTTTGTTTTATTCTCGTTAAGCAGTAAGTTATTTACATTAAACCAGTTAACTATACGAGAGATAGAATTGTTTACATCGTCCAATAATACGTTATTCCTATTCACTTTAAATAGAAGTGAAGTGTCATCAGCAAACAATACCATCTCATGAACTTCGTTGACAAAGAATGGGAGGTCATTTATGTAAATTAGAAATAAGAAAGGCCCGAGAATCGATCCTTGGGGACGCCCATTGATACCTGCGAACCCGGAGAGGTGACTCTATTGACATGAACTCTTTGGATCCTTCCCTTTAAATATGAATTCATCAGGCTGGAAGCTTTGCCATCAACGCCATAGTGTTGAAGCTTTCCAACGAGTATATCAGGATGAACACAGTCAAAGGCCTTTGACAGGTCACAAAAGACGCCGACTCCATCATATGATTCTTCCCAGGCGTTAAATATGTCCGAAATCAACTTCACACCGGCATCGATTGTGGAGCGACCCTTAGTGAAACCATACTGTTTATTATGTAAGAGTTTATTTTTATTAAAATGTAAAGAAAGCTGGTCTAGCATTATCTTTTCAAAAACTTTGCTCGACGCAGGGAGCACGGAAACAGGTCTGAAGTTTGACGGATCAGACTCACTACCTGCCTTGAACAACGGTGTAATCTTACTTAATTTCATTTCGTCCGGAAAGACTCCACAATCGATACATCTGTTAAAAATTATAGACAATTCAGAGCTTATTACATTAATAACGGAATTTAAAATGACTGTTGACATACCCCATATATCTTTACTTTTTTTAAAATTAATAAGCTTAAAAGTTTTAACGATATCATTACAAGTTATATGTTTAAACTGAAATTTAATATTACATTCAGGTACACATTTTTCTAGCAATGAGATCGCAGCAGCAGGTGAAGAATCTAGAGACTTGGTCGTATTTAGTGGTACATTTGTAAAGAACTCTTCAAAAGAAGAAGCTACCTCTGGGTCAGATTTTATTAATTTCCCTTTGACTTTTAACATATAATCAGTTCGTTTGTCAGACGTTTTACCTGATTCTTCATTTATTATTTTCCAGGTAGCTTTTACTTTATCCATGCTATTTTTTATTTTTGAACTTAAATATTGAGACTTTGCAATTTTGCAATCTTTTTTGAAATTATTTGAATACAACCTAACATATTCCCTAAATTCCACACTAGTGTTATATTGCATTTCGTCATACATTTCATATAATTTTAACCTTTTCCTGTGTAACTCCTCATTTGCCCAGTCACAGAAACTTGTTTTCTCAGAGACCAATAAAGTCTTTTGAGTAAATACTTTCCTGAATTCATCAATAAATGATCCAAAAAAAGTATTGTATAGATTATTAGGGGATGAGTTGCCACACAGAAATGGCATCCTATAGACCAATGCTTCTCTAAATCGGTCCAAACGGTCATTTGTAATAGGAGTTATCACAATTTTCTTCTTTTACATGTTTTTTGTTTCCTTAATTGGAATTCAAACCATTGACCAGTGTGATCAGATTTAAATCTATTAAAAATACAAACATTCAAAGGGGCTATGTCACTATATATATTATCTATACAAGTTGCGGTGCTAGCTGTTATTCTTGTGGGTGAATGAAATTGATTTATTAAATTGTATGAAGGAAAAAGACTAAGTATGCGTACACTTGAATTAGAATGACAAAGTAAATTGACATTAAAGTCCCCACATACAATTAGCCCTTTATTACACTTTACTAATTTACACAATATCTCCTCTAATACATTTTCAACATTATTATAGACAGCTGATGGAGGACAATATAGACATACAACAATGAATTGCTCCAGTTCCACACAGGAGATTTCAATAGTTAGTTCTACAGAGAGGCTGATAATATCCTTTCTTTCTTTGCATTTAAGTTTTTTACTTATTAGGATTAATGAGCCACCATGAATTGCATTTTCTCTGCAAAACACACTACCAACCCTGTGGTTACAAAAATTAAACATCACTTCATATTTTTTTAGCCAGTGCTCTGTTATGCACAAAAAGTCTATTTTTTGACTATTCAAGAATAGTTCAATTTCTAATTCTTTATTTTTCATTCCCTGTATATTTTGATGTACCACAATAATTTTTTGGGAATGAATTTTATCACATAATATACATACCTTATTATTGCAAGAGTGGTGCTCTGTTGTCCTATTATCTAATTTAAATAAATATTATTTGGAATTTCTTCCAAGGTCTTATAATCTAATGCTTGCTCAATAGAAGCAAGGGGTCTAGCCAAATTCTTGGCTGTCATCTCTATAAAATATGATAGCGAAACAGCTATCTGTCTTTTTAAGAAAGCAGGTAGGTTACTACTACGATATTGTTATGATATTTAAATTTTGGCATTAATGCCAGCTGCTCATTGAAGTATTTCCTAAATCGAGAAAAGAGCGTACCATGTGAGTATTACTTAACATCTATCTCAAAAATAGCAACGTTTTGAGATATGCGTGTTCTTTGTAATCAACACATTCAATTTACCATTTGTGCTATGCGTAATTTCGCGATTGTAGTTTTAAAGTTTTAAACGATTAAAGGGATTTAAGCTTTGAGAAGCTCTGGCGGCTCGAGTCCGTGGTACAACCACGGTTGCTGCACCCTTATTAAATGATAAGACATGCTTAAATTATACCACTATTATGAACTGTGAATTTATTAAATTCACTCTTTTATTTACTTGTAATCTTAATAGCAATTTCCTTATTTTAAACAAGCTTTAATGAAAACTTTTTATCGATCTATCTATTTTTAGTACCAGGAATATTTTGTTTTATTTTCTTTATGGGCTCGATGGATGAAATAAAAGCTCCTTACTTAGCGTGTAGAAATGGAGGATTTTTAGATAAATGAATTTAAAGATTTCACTAGAATTTTATCACTAACTTGAATTCGTTAGGAAATACTTTAGTCGATAGCTAGGATTAATGTCTAAATTTAAATATCATCAAAATATCGTAGTAGTAGTAGTAGTAGTAAAGTTATATGTTTCCTGGAGATGGCAGACAAGATTCACCAAGATTGATACAAAGCATTCGAAACGTCAAGTTATGAAACTAACACTAAAAATACAAATATACACAAAACTTGGTATTAACTTCAGTGAAAAATAATCTTACAAGCAAATAATATAATTAGCTTTTTGTCAATTATCTATGAATACTGTTACGAACTCGCAAAAAGAAGTCAAGGTGCGTGGAACTCATTTGTTCGTACTAGGCGTCACTTGTTCGAGCACACTTGTCCTGCGCCCCGTGGCCGGGCTGGCCACCGTCAGCCGTCACGTCCCTCTGCTGTTCCACTGCACGTCTACTGCCGGGAACTGCGCCAACAACACGCCACTCCTGCGGCTCAGTGCCAGGGTGCTGGTCCTACAGAACACTCGCCGTAGCCGAACGAGGCTGCTAGCAAAGGATCACGCCGTCTTCCATTCGGGTAGCACTCTCCTCATCGTTCTGGCTGGGTATTTGAAGTCGCCGTCTCAACCAGTTGTTAAACTGAGACTAAATATTTGGGTGGGAAAATTGAGCCGATTCATTTTTTTAAATTTTAAACTTGTATTCTATTCTAGACTGCCAGTTCGGAATATTCATTACGTTTTTATCATACCAGTGGAACAAAAAGGTTTTATACCGTTACAATACAATATGTGATGTACACTTCAGAATTTCTAATACACCTCATGTTTTTACCGTTTCCTTTGTTCAAAAAACATAATAATTTTTATAACAGCGTAATTGCTTTACCAATATGTTAGAATTTGGCAATTTAGCAAATGCTTATCGATTGTTAACTTTTTGCCGGTAAATAATCGGTTTATTGTAAAATATTTGTGTTATAAGGTTCACGTGACAGATGTCTAATCGCTTCGACTTTGAACGTCCTTCGTCGGGTTTTTATAAATTGCACAATATCGGTTTAAAACCGTTTTAATGAACGTGACCTCCAAACATTTTATTTGGTTAGGCGTATCAAACCAAAAATAGTGAGTTCGAACCCCTGTAACATTAAGTATCGTATGGATTTTTCTCTATTTGCATAATTAATGTGTAAAGTGAATGGCATGTTTTAGACTCTAAAACCAATCTTAGTCACATCTCAGTCACGGACGGCTGATCACCTATTTCTCTAAAATGAAAATCAGATTTCTGAATCACGTTAATTGGGTAGTACAAATTTTACCGAATATGATTTTGATCAAACAAAACCGTTTGACCGATTCTTGGGCATATTTTTTTTATTAAGTTAAGTAAATAACTAACATACGAGGATATATATAATACCTATATGTAAGTATATTAAATTGTTTACGTATTGACATGCATGGTTTTTACTTTATCTGTATACGCCTTGACATATATATGCTCAACGACAAAGAGTAAATATTACATAGACTTGTTTTAATATATTTCCAGAAACTCTTGTTTCGCCTCTATTTACTTGTCTTTGTCTTCTTTTGTTACCTTGTCAGTTTTTTGCTTTAAGCTGTAATTTTCAACAATTGCATTTATAATAGTCACAATATTAAAACACATTTAAAAATATGAATTAACTACTAAACAGTCACGAAACACAGTCCAATCTAATTTAATTATACCCCAAATCAATTTAGTTCGCATGTGAACTAAATGAAAATTAACTAAAATAGAAAACAAACGTTGAAAAGAAAAAAACAAATCTGATACCTGCGCAGACGAATTCCGCACCTTGTGGCAAATTGAAAAGGATGCGCTTGCTCGCCAAGCTAATAATAAATTCTCAAATAATAATAATTCATAAATAATAATCGTGTTGGAGCAAAATAAAAATATACACGAAATAATAAAGGATTTGAGATGTGTCGCACACACTGGCTGCTATCAGGGATGCCAGTTAAATCTTTATATATATAAAATTCTTCATACTTGTAACCAAAGTCCTTTGGTACGGTTGGTCCGATTTTTAGAGTTTTTTTAGTATATTAGGTAGGTCTGAGAATCAGGTCGTACAAAAATTACACCCCTAGGGAGCTAAAAACAGTCATTGCAGAAGAGTGAGCACGTATTCCTTAAAACCGTATTAAAATCATCATGGAAAGCATACCCAAAAGGAATCAAGCTGTGATTTTGCAAGAGGCAAGAGGAGGTCACACACGTTTTACATTTGTTACTTTATTTTATTTAAAAAAAGTAAAAAAAATCTTCTTGTCTTTATTGCCGACAACTTCTTATTGTTTGCCCGTATTTCAGTTTGACATCGGCTTTAATGAATTCATAAAAATAATATTAAAAAATTTCCAGAAGTGCCACGCATATCAATTCACACGATAAGAAGTGTACAAATACGTCAGACAATTAAATTTCATCAAATTAACTGAAATCGATCTTAGAACGTAAATTTCCTTTTGCAAAAGAGTTAATCTTCATTATTAAATAAGGATATCTTATTATTATCTTATTTAGAGCTGTCAGAACATTGCTTTTATAAAGTTGTTACGACCGTTTTAACTCAATTTTAAGTAAGTATCAAATTTACTAACATATGATGTATAAAAAACTATTATAATTAAGCAAGCAGCAAAACAAATAACTCCCAAACGAAATAAATATCTCATGTCCAAAAATATCGCCCCGTGTGAACAACCATGCGCCAGATAAAATTGTTTTTTCCAACAGCTATAATTAGGCGATACGTTTCGTTTTTGTTTGGCCCACATTTCCCGATCCTCTAATTTTTCTATTTTTTACCGAGCCTTTTGTAGTCGTTAATATGATTACACATTTGGGATGATGGCTTCATACGTGTTTTAGGTTATAACTTAATTTGCCCGAGTTTGCTCGTTTTTTTCCACTTCCTGAGTCTGTCGACTTTCGTGTTTTTTGTGTCGAGTCGTTAGGTGGAGATGATTGAATGTATTGAGACGTGGTTCAATAATGCCTACGTGTTATCATGTAGTCCGTTAATCATATTCATAAGTTATTGAATTATATATACTCAAATTAGTTATTTATTTTGTACTCTAGAGTCAAGCTAACTTAAATTATATATAACACAAAACAATTATAGCCAAAGATAGAATATAATATAGATACAAAAAAGTTCAAACACTTATGAACTGGTGTGCTCATGATGCAGGCTATTTAGAGCTATGGATATTTTTAATCTTTTAAAGCGTATCCCGCGATAGGTTAAACAAGCCGAGGCTTAAAATTTCAAGATTATAGGGGAAGGTAAAGTCAAAGACTATCAGCCACCTAGAGAGAAAACGAGATCGGAGTCTGTAAGTTTGAAAGCATTTGGGAATAGCAGTCGGCCGGCCCAGTACTGAAAAGACGCCGAGATGGACTTGCGCGAGCTCCAAGTTGGTTATTGGCAAATAGCAATGCAAAATCGTCGAAGGTGGCGTACTCTTGTCTCGAAGGCCAAGACTAACTTTGGGTCAAATTTTTAAAATAGCTTTGAAGTTTCTTCCAAGAGTCGAGTTTGCAGTACAACAGTAGCTTATTGGCAAATAGCAGTGTAAGATCGTCAAAGGTGGCGTTCTCTTGTCTCAAAGGCCAATACTAACTTTGGGTCTAATTCTTAAAATAGCTTTGAAGTTTCTTCCAAGAGTCGAGTTTGCAGTACAACAGTAGCTTATTGGCAAATAGCAGTGTAAGATCGTCAAAGGTGGCGTTCTCTTGTCTCAAAGGCCAATACTAACTTTGGATCTAATTCTTAAAATATCTTTGAAGTTTCTTCCAATAGTCGAGTTTGAAGTATAGTTTTCTAGTACAGTCGTCAACAAGTATGTGTAAATTAATTTATAATTGTCGGCGGCGTGGAGCGGCTGTTAAAGCATGGAAGGTCTTAATAATGATTTCGAGCGGGCTCGCTTGACAAGCAAATTGTGCGATGGAAGGTAGACGTGCAAATTACGCCAACACTCGGCGCAAACACGCGAGCTCTTTGCGCCGTTGTCGCTCGCACACATGGACAAATCAGAAATTGGTAGCGATTTTTCGCATTGAAATTACAGTGATTTAGGAAATAACTGTGTCATACAGAAGCTTAGCAATTTTATTTTATAGTTCTATTTATTGGCATAGAAATTAAATATTAAGTTTGAATATTTGATATATAGAACGGATAAGAAAAAGAGTAATTACATGACAGCAGAACGTTCAGAATATAGGTAGGTAATAGTTAAGTTTCGGTCGAATCCAAATAATATACGAAGAATAACACCAGACCAAGATCAGAACAAGAACAAAATGTGAACCTGTGTGCATTAGTTGATAGTTATAGCCACGATTTATTATCTAATTTTAATAATAGCCTTTAAAAAAAAATTTTCTATTAAATATTATTACTACCATTTTAAGCATTTACGTTTTCTAATTATATAATCAGAATATTTGGCTCATATATTATACCATTTTAATAGTGTATCTATAACGATAGATTAAACATTTTACACACAAGGGATTTCAGTGATTTTAAGAACGATTTTTAAGTCAGTTCAATTCAATGAACTCATAATGAACGTATGTGGATACGGTTTTCGACACATTGACAACGGATTATAAAGATTTTATTTTTTATTTATATAATCACGCCTTTTTCCTGCAAGGGTAGACAGATACCACGGATCTCTTCCTTCAGTCCTGGCATACCTCTCCTGCTTCATCCACTTTCATGACATTCACCATGCATCGGTTATGGGATCATTTATCTTGTCCCTTATCTAGTACCTCCTGGATCCAGGTATGTACGACAGGGTGTATTATAAAAGCTTATCATGTAGTCATTATTTTGTATTGAAATTTTTCTCGTTGTTGATGGTGTGTCAAAACAGAAGTCGTCAAAAACGTATTTTTAAAATACAAACATAATTCACCGTCGAGCGTTCTCCGTGAATCTAAATCAATTTTATTGGTCTCGGCTGCGCCTCTAGTTAAGTAATTATTGTCTAGCCAGTTTACAAAGAACTCTTTCGCTCTATTATGTGTTGGGTAATAAACATGCTAAACACCTCTATAGGTCTCAAGTGCGTAAAGCGGAGGTTCTAGTGTGAAAGAATGTTTCAGCGTGGTTATCATGATCTATTTAAAATAATTTTTTAGGTTATTTAAATTAGTTGTAAGCAGCAATCCGCGTCCTAATTTGATGGTACTAGCGTATATGAGTAACAGGGAGTTTCTAGATTTGATATCTAGGGAAAAAAAGAGCGTGTAGTGTAACAGATGCAGAAGGGTCTGCAAATGCCCTGCGAGACTTCTAACACTAAAATGATATTCTACGCAGCAGAATAATTCGTTATTCTATAAAATATATCATCATTTACAACTAGTTTGAATTATTTTTTTTTTTTTGTAATCCTACAGCAAAAATAAATTATATATAATAACAAACAATTATACTACAGATATAGCCAAAGAAAGATATAGCTAAAGATATTCGATACATAATATTTACAGCAAGGTTCAAACTTTTACAAAACGAAAAAGACAATAAAAAATATTCAATATGTTGTATGATGGTGTAAAAGTGAGTAGGTACGTGAGGGTGTGCTCATGATGCAGGTGATTTTGCGCTATGGATATTCCTAATAAGAATCTTATTTGTTAAAGTTTGTTTACCTTCTAATCTCTATAAAGCCACTTTAACATTATGAGAATGATTTAAATTTAAC